TATGTGCACAGGCAAGCATACTCGAGAATGTGTATACGTGTATTAGGGTGAAGATAATTTTAGTTTGGCTTTGTAAAAAGATAAATTATATAATATTTTTATGCTTCTAAAACTAAAGAAATCCAAAACAGATAATGTCTACATTTCTTTTGACAGTCAACTGCACAAATAATAATCAGATTTTCTTCACAGCTTTCTTCCCTATAGAACTCTGAATAATTTAGAAATACAAATATGTTCACTGCTTTAGTTGCAAGCTATCTGAATAAATCTCCAAATATTAACAGGGCCAGGCTTTTACTGAGTTGATTCATAAAATGGATGTATAGTTGTGAAAATTTGAAGAGAAACTTTGGTACTCACTTGTAACAAAACTTCTTAATGAGATCTATTTATCCCATTTCTACATAGGATAAAGTTTGTATAATATTTACTTTCAATCATTAGACATATTAAACTGATATGTTATCAAAATTAACAGATTTTCCTTGCTTTGTTGAGATCTCTTGGCTTTTTGGACTACTCTAGATATTTTCTTGTTTTGAGAAGCAATGAGAAGGCACCATCCACATTTGCATTTCATTGAAGTATCTGCCTTTCTCTTTCACACTTCAGCTTCTTGTAGGCAATCATTTTCAAATCTCTCTCTCTCTCTCTCTCTCTCTCCTGAGATTTAGTTTTCAAGATTCATTTTAGTGTAGAAATTGAATGCCCTGGTTTTGCCAATCCTTGGCACTCAAGTCTTACTGAAAGTTAAAGGGCTCCAATCTCATTAGAAAAAACTGCACAGTAACCTGCAGACAGGGTGTCTAAATATCTTGAGTTTAGTTCCTTAGATCTTTGTCAGCACTTAGAGAGCTGCTCCACATCCTTAGTGCTGCAGCTTTGGATAGGTGACTCCCTCAAACAAAGGCCAGGGGGACCTTTTTAGTCTACAACTAAGAGGGCATGAAAAAATTAAAAAGCAATTCCCTGGGCTTCTACAGCTAGGATGATGCTAGAATGTAACCAACACAGAGGTAGTTTCGTGTTGTAGGGAAGATTTAGTGCTTATTCAACCCAAATTTATAGCATTTTATTTCTGCCATAAAGACAGTTTACATTTACAGCCCACAACTGGAGTTAATAGGTAGGAGTAGTAACTACACTATGGTTAATGAAAACACAGTACATAAAGTATAAACTTTGCTGATTCTCTAATTGGTATAAAAGCCCAGATATAGGAAAGTGAGCTTTACAACATGGCATAGTTGAACACTGGTAATTGATACAAATGAAATCTTAGACATAACAATATTTAGATTTTCATTTTAAGAAAATATCCTTTATGTTGTTAAAGATTTCATACATTCTCTAGACTGTCTTGAGACAATGTCAGTCAGTAGTCACACATGGCTGCTGGATACCTGAATATTAGTCCAAATCAAGACTCAAAAGGGCACTGGATTAGTCTTCAAAAGAATAAAATAATGTAAAACATTGAATTATTGTTTATGTTGTACACACTGAAATATTTTGGATACACTGGATTAAAGTGCATTATTCAAATTACTATTTCCTTCTACTTTTTCAATGTGACTACTCAAAATTTTAAAGTTACACATGTAGCTCACATTTGTGGCTCACTTTATGTTTTTATTGGACAGCACTGTCCAAGAGGCTAGCTAATAGCACAGCTATACTGCGTCCCTATGAACAAAATCAGTTGTAAACATTCTTCTCCCTCAGATCACAGTTTTCTTTATAATGCATAATATAAATTCCAAATTTCTTAATGGATATTTTTTCTCACAAGTCTTTATGGTTTCACAGTCTATTTCCTCTCCTGAGAACCCCCTTTCCACTTAGCATACTTGGTAAACATTTTTTTAACCTTTTAATGGTCAGCTAAAGTATTATTTTCTCCATAAAATATTCTCAGAACTCCCTTACCCTACATCTGTACCCCAAGTAGAAATACACACTCTGTCCTCTGGGCTGTGACAGTATCTTGGCCAATGTCTGCTGAATGCTTTACTGTTTGCTTAGCTCAGGGATAGGCAGTTGGAAGTAGCCAAATGTGAGCCAGAGTGATATGGACACTGTGCCTATACTGCTTGCATTCTAGAGCAGAATACCAATCAGGAAGTATGCAGCTACAAAACGGTGTGGAAAATGCCACAGAGGGGAGACTTAGAGAAAATATCAAAAGCATAACTTTTCCAGACTATATCTTTGTGGCAGATAAGCCTATTGAGCCTGCATTACAACATCTGATCCCACAGAACCCATTGGCTTATACCAACATTTACATTTCTCAGGTGAACTAAATGGCATCTTTTCACATCACAAATAGTTCAAAATAAAAATTGCATTATAGGCATTCTTATATTATATCTATACCCCAATATCCTTTCAATGACTGTCTTACCCTGGATATTTGGGTATTGATTTTTTTTAAAAGAACAAAACAATAGTATCTAGGCGATTAACGTAATTCAGTTAAAAAGAAGTCCACAAGAGGTGCGCAATGAACACTAATGCACCAAGAAGAAGAGTTTAGGATTTCCATGACTGTAATTCCTGTAGTGATGAGAAGATAAATTAACAATAAGTAGTGAGCAGCTTTGGTGAATCATCTAACATAGGGCAGTGGAATTTTTAAAATTAATGTTGGAAGGCAGGACCAGTAACTTGGCTTGTTGAGAAATCTCAATGATCTAGAATCTAGTTAGGAAGCAAGAAGAATGCTTTTTAAAGCAATATTTGAGTAGTTCAAATATCTGTCTGAAAGTCCAAGACCTTGGACTTTGCCTTACTCCTTGGTGAACACATCCCTCCTTATATGGAACCTACTTCGTTTTACTTTGGAGTTGTGTCAAATGAGGCTATCTGCACGAAACTAGAAACTGCCCATCAGAAAGGAATGTTAGGGGTAGCAGTGCTGGTAACAGAACAGAAAAAAGACAACACATAGTGCGGGGAAGTGAGTGATACAAAGGCAGAGGGTGCAGCAATTGATAGCTTATAAACCTCTTAGGAGCATTCTTAACACCTAGGAAGAAGCTTGATATAAAATGTAAACTACTCAAGTATTTCTTAAGTGTGCTATTAACTTATTACCATAATACTTTTAATGAATGGACACTGAATTTTCAAGAAAATGCCAAAGTCCAATAAACTTAAGACAATAGAAACATTTACAGTACATTTTAGAAAATCTTTGTATAATAATCAAAGATAGTTTTTAGAAAAGAAGTTCGACCCCACTGAAGGGCCAAGCTCCAATTATGCTGATCATTCTTTAATTGGAATACTTTGCTTTGTGTCAGTCTTGTACAGATGATGTACCAGAGAAAAATGGCCTTTACTAATCTGCCTTAAGCAGATTTTGAACTGTGGTACATGCAAATAATATGCTATTACATGAGGTTTAAACTGTGTTAGACGGCAACAGATTGCATAGTTGAATCACCAGGGTAATGTAAAATAACTGTTTTAAAATGCGCCATCACCATTAAGCAAAAGAATTCCTACCATGTGCCCAGCACTGTGCCAAGAGCTGAGTTTTTTAAGAATTAATTTGAAAAGCTTTCACTTTCAAGACTGAGAAGGTATCCGGAAGCTCATTCATATTTTTAAAGGTTAAATTTTAAATGCACGACACCAGCATTACATAATAGGCATAAAGTGCAGTTTTATGATTTGGATAATTTTTGTTTTTTTAAAGTGCACTACCAACTCCATTTCCAAATGCTATCAAATTCTTAAGGATATGGAAACCTACATATAAGAACTGAGTGCCTCACTTATTTGTCTTACCTGTTAAGTGTTATACACAGGCATGCCATTTCAGAGTTTAAGGTGCAACCAAGCTGTACTTTAGCGTTTTTGTGTCAAGTGAAGATAATTTCAGCAACGACACTCATTTCCCCTGGTATTTTTCTTTTTTTCATGGCGAGTTACCAAAAGCTAGATGACAGAATCAAAAAGAAACCTGACATTTGGGAGGTGTGGAGGGGGCGTTAATAGTGGTAGTTAGATGTTTGGGGAGCGTTGAAAATATGATTTTAGCACAGCAAATAAAGGAAAAGGGGAAATTAGGCTTTCATGTGACTCTCTTCCCTCTACTTTCTCGCTGTACCCATCTGACACCCCCCCCCCCCCCCCCCGCCTCCAGTTCAGAGGCGGGTTCAGCGAGATTAGGCTTCACAGAGCTGCTCCCGGGCCTGCCTCGTGATGTAATTGTTATTCCTCATTCGGAGACCAAACCGAGGAGGGCGGCTGTAAGAAGTGGCAGCCCTGTTGTTTTTGCCTTATCTGGCCCGGGTCAGATCCTTTCCGAGGATGTTGGTGTAGCTCGGCTGGAGACTTCACAGTGACAAAGCAGCTGAAGATAAACCCTGCTCCTGGGTCCTACGTCCGTCCGGGGAGCCGAGCGGGGCAGTCCTCAGGTCTCAGACCTTCCTAGTTCTCGTCTCGGCGTCACAACACATTTATTTCTGTGTGTTGGGCATGGGGTCAAAGTGACCTAGAGTTAGTGCCCGTGGCCCCCCCCCCCCCCATTAATGCAGGACACAGATTACAAGGAGGTGGAAATTGGGGGTGGGGGAAAGGGAGCCAAGGGAACGCGCGTTGAGGAGGAAAGAGCAGGAGGTAGACGCTTAAGGCGCCAGGAGCTTGGAGGGGGCTCTAGGGTGCAGGGCGACCGGTCTCCTTGCTGTGCAGAGCGCGCGCCCCCTGGCCTGGCTATCGGGACCCTCGCCCGGCCCCTCGGGGGAGCTGTCCAGGCGGCTGCACCCAGCCGGGAGCCGAGGGGAAGGCGCGGGGCGCGCTATCGCCACCTCCCCGGTCCCTGAAGCCCCGGCCCCGGGGCCTCCGGGGGACGAGCGAGAAGGGGGGGGCGCGGGGAACAAAGCACAGGACATCAAACCGAGGGGGGCTCCCCAGCTCCCGCGAGCTCCCGGCACCCGCGCGGCTGTCTCCGCCCTGTGACAATGGGAGGGAGGGGGAAAAAAGGGTTAAGAAACTTGGCTGAAGAGCTGAATGGCGTGCGGCGGCGAGGGGAGGGACTCGGCCGCGGCCGACTCGGCGGCGGAGGGAGGAGCGCGGTGCGGGCGGGCGACGAGCGCGGAGTGCGGAGCGCGGCGCCCCAAGTCAGCCTCGCAGACATTGCAGCAGAGCCCCGAACTCGGGAGGCGGCGGCGGCGCAGGAGGCGGCGGCCCAGCGGAGGGACGAGTCGGCCCCACGCCCGCCCTCCCGCCCGCCCGCGCGCACCCAGCCCTGGCCTCGCGTCCGCCGCTGCGCTCGGCAGCGCTGCCGGTCGGAGGGAGGAAGAGCTCGCCGGCGCCGGGAAGGACGGGGCGGCGGGCGCTTCGTGGAGCGAGCCTGCGGAGCCGGGGGCTCGGAGCCGCGGCGGCTTCGGTGAGTGGCGACCGTGACCGGGTCGGGGGAGCGGCCGCCTGCCGGAAACGGCCTGGAGCGGGGCCCGTGGCGGCGGCGGCGCTGGCAGGCAGGGCCGCGGGGACGTCGGGGACGGCGCGGGCGGCGGGGTGGGGACGGCTCGCGGCGCGGAGGAGCCCGCGTCCCCCGAGGGGCAGGAGCTCCCCGGGAACTCGCGCAGGGGGCCTGCGGCGCGGCCGCCAAGTTGCGGAGTTGGTTCGGGCTTACCCGCCCGCCGCTCCGTGTTACCGTGGGCCGAGGGGCAGCGCCGAGGTGCCCTGCGCCGGGACGGCCGCAGGGGGCTGGGTCGAGGGCTGGGGTCGCGCCCAGCTCGGCTGCCCCCTCGACCCGGGTCCCGGGCGCTTCTTGTAGCGCGGCTTTCGGTCCTGCTGCCCAGCGGCGCCCTCGCTGGCGCCTCTCGCCCCGATGCCTCTCTATCGTATGCCTGCCCGATTCCGGCCCAGAAAAGTGACCCGGGTAGGGGACACCGCTCGCAGCCCCACGCCCGGCCTGCCAGCCCCTGCTGGTCGCCTCCTGAGGGCGAGGCTCCTTGGACCCGAGGCCTCGGCCGGCGTTTCGCTCCAGGGGCAGCGGCCGGGCTCTCGTTTAGAGTGAGCCCCGTGGAAGTGGTGCGGGGAGGCTGCTTTTCTCTCTTCGATCGGTGTCCTCCTTCCTACTATCAAATATTGTTGTTTTAGAAAGAGTTTTCTGTGGAGAAAGCCTACAGACTCTTCCATCCTTTCCCAAGTAGTTTGCAAATTTTAATCAGGAGTTGGTGATCATTCTCAAGGAACAAAGGAATCAGCTGTGTTTTAGAGGCTGACGAGCTGAGAGACCGTGACACATGTTGATTTCTGAAGCATTCCAGGAGTTTCTACCTTCTGTTACGTTAGTAATGTGATTGGATTCCGAAGGTAGTTAGAGAAGAGCAGAATGATGAGTACTTTCTCGTTAAAGAAAAAATTCTAATGTGACATTTTATTTTCAGAAAAATCAAAATGTTCTTAGGTGCAAGAACTTTTAACTCAGTTGGTGGAACTGAGTTGGAGTTTGTCTCCTGTAATATAAATGAATGTGAGATTGTGAGGGAAATAGGTTTTTAATATGATTTTTAGAGGTAAAGAGATTGTAAGTGTCCAAAGTAAAAACGATTGTCTTTCACACACAAAGGCACACTTACACTTACTATGTTTCTTGGGACAATTCCTGAAGCAAGGGGCTTTAGTAATTCATTCTTTAAAGTTATGAATTGTGTCGAACCTGCTTATTAGTGAATCATAGGTTTGGCAAGTGGGTGGCATTGTCCCGATGCGATTATTCAGTGTTTAATCATCAGTTTGCTACCTTTGTTGAAGAGACGGTGAAGTAAGTAGACTTTTTAAACAAATGGTGGTTCATCTGCCAGGCCCCTAAGTGTGGGTTGCTGCCTGGAGTATGTTGAAATGTTTTTCAACTTCCAAGTAAGTTAAGTTGCTCTGGTTTTGCCCTGTGGTTTGGTAATGTCAGTAGGGTTTAACTAGTTCGGAGGCAGTGGCTTCCTCACCAGTAGTAACTTTCTCTACTTGGATTTAGTCCCTAGAGACAAAGAAAGAGAATCAGTCAATGGAGCAGCTATTGCCTTGTAATATTGGTTTCGCTAGGCTGTGTCATACTTTGGTAGAGAAAGTCTGCTTTCCAAACTCACGCTTAAAAGTACTCTAGGAACGTGAATAAAGTATATACATAATTTAGAAAATTTTTTTAAAAAAGAAGATTGTGTTGCTTTTACACAAATGAATTTCTTACAGTGCCTTTGGAGTAGTTGAAAATCAGAGAAGACTTGACCAGATCGTTTTTATGTGTATCTTCAAACTTTGTAGAACTTAGATTATCCTGATTTAAACATCCTAAAATATAATAAGCTCCAGATAGAGAAATGTGTGTAGGAGAGGCTAAGGGCTCTTCTGGCTCTTTCAGTTTTAACAGCAAAACATCATGATAAAAAATAACCTATACCACCACCTAGAGTCTGTTTGTTAGTGTATTGCTCCTCAAGTTTGCATAAATTGACATGTCTCTTGTGGTTCTGATATGGTCAAAAAATGATTAAGAAATGCAAGTATTCGAAAGGCCATCCAAGAGAACAATTTTTAAGTCATAAATTGCAAGCGCCAATTTAAATTATCTGTACCACCTTTAGAAAAGAAAATTATGACGTTCCAAGTTTAGCGGGCTATTCTCCAAAAGATATTAATTCAAAAGAATTTAAGACAGGGATTTACAGCTTGTGTTCCACTGTAGCTCCCACTGCTTCAAGATTTTCTGTGTTGTTATTAAGGATTCAAGAAATCTTACAAGTCAAGTGCCATTAGGACTTTTTGAAGTCCAGGTGAAACAAAAGCTATCATAGAAATATAGGGAAGTATTCCAACTATAAAAATTCTGGAAACTTAAAAGGCTACAAGTGGAGTTGTAGTTCAGAGATGTTAGAGTGAAATCGATGTGAAATAAGGTGGAATCTGTTTCGATGGCAGTTTGTATGTAGAAAAGCAGTCTGGTAAATGGGAGACCTTAGGGAGGCAGCTTTGTTGCCATTTGGCTCATCACATTGTCCAAGGAAGCAATATTCCTCCTTTAAGTGCTGTAGCCTGAGAGGAAGATGGCCTCTAAGATCTTTAATTAAATACCAGTTGAACAGAGAGAACTAGAGCACTGTATTAATTCTGTCAAACATCACTATTTTAGAACATTGAGGACAACTAAAAATGAATTAACTCATAGCTGAAAGCAGAGTTTTATGGAAGGTGACAGATGAGGGAAAATATGTCAGTCTAATGGAACAAATAGGAAGATAAGGAGATATGCTATCCTTGCCTCTCTAGAAAAGATGAAAGAGAAGTTTAATATTAATTGCAGAGATTCCATTGCAGACCATCACTAGAACACCATGACATAGAGGTAATTTTGAATCAGATTGGCTTAGGATATATGAAGTTAAATAAATTAGGTTTTTAATTTTAAAAATCTAAAGATTGCAAGCTACTTGTTTTAAGTGTTCTGGAAAGGCAATAATAGTTTGGTGTATCAAGTTAAAAGGTAACTGCTCAAAATAAGTTTAGAACATCTTACTTTCAATAGTGATAGGATGAGTTTGTTTTGGCTTTTCAAAGTTTAGATTGACAGTTTTTAAGCTGTAGGTTAATAGACAAAAGGAAGTTTCCCTGTATCCCCCTTTCCCCTTCCCTCCTCCTCTTCCTTCTTCCCCTTCTTTCATCTTCCCCTTCTCCATCCCTGTCCCCTCTTCTCTAAAATGAAGAGTTTCCATTTTGGGGGGGATGTTGTCTTCTTTTTCATGAAAATTGCTTTAGTTTGTAGCTTCCATTTTTGTCTGTGGTGGAGTAAAATTTCTTGCCTCTTGTATTTTCTCCATCTGAGCTTTAGGTGATTGATTTACAATCAAGTGTGAGTTTGTGTTTTAAAAGAAAGATTTACTTTTACATGGATAGCCACTGCTGTTATTCGGAGATCCCTGTGTTCCCTTGTTTTCCTACTTGAGCAGTATTTTTTTATTAAAAAATTGTTTTTGACCACTATTGAAAGGCAAAGAAATGTTTTCAACAAAATATCTTAGGTGAGTTTCAAGTTATGTGCCTTTGAATCTGCGAATTAAATCGTTTAAGATTCATTTCCTTAAGTTGCACTTTTTTCAGGGAACTGCAGATGGGTGATGAGCAGACTCATTCAGTAGTATTTAGATAACACAACAATCAGAAATATAACACCAGGATGGTCACTAAGACTGGAGAAGGTAAAAACCAGGAGTGTCAGATGATAAAGCAGGCCAATGGAAGGGAGCTGAGGATTATGTCCAGAGGTTGGAATGAACAAAACGTAAATGGAGGAGAGAGATCCTGTTTCCGTATCCTGTTTGCATCTGATGCTGAAGCAGAGACATGAATTGCTGATGGTAATGGATTCCCTTTTATGAGGCCAGCAATATTATATAAATAGTGGTTGTTTGGGGGAGAGAAATGACAAGTTCTCCATTTGTTCATATGCATATTTTGTTTTTGAATGTTTCTTAAAGATATCTGAACAGGGGGATAGAAATTTAGTACTAAAAGGGAACCAAGAGTTATAGTTTGCTTGGAAGAAAATGAAGGAATATTGGATTGCTTTTCTTTAATCTGTTTAAAATCTGCTGTTTTCTAAGGTACTAGGTCACCATGAAAAACAGTGTGTAAGTGCTGAGGTTTGGGTGTTGAACTGGAAAATACTTTTATGGGATCTTTGATAGAGATGACTTGATGTACAGATCTACAGAAAAATGTTTTCTTTAAACACATTCTTATTATTCAAGATAGGGGGAAAATTGAAGCCAAAGAGACTTAAAAATCTTATTAGAGTTTCTTTGCAAATTATAATTGCTCAGGTATCTTTTCCTGAAATTTAATGTTCAATTTAATGGTTCTGAAAGTGTAGGATTCTAAAGCTTGGAATTTATTTAGAACAGAACTATCATTTTGCTACAGGTATGAAAGGTAGTTTTAAGTTTTCATAATACAGTTTTGAGATGAGTAGGAAGTTTTGCTAGTTTTTGGAACTATCATGAACTTGAAATTCATATTTATTGATTCCCACACTTTCTTCTATGTATTACAAATAAAGCATTATGAAACTTGTGGTGTTACAAGTTATTAATATACCTGAAACATAATTTTCCTTAACTTTATGAAACTGAGAACAAGAATGAATTTAGAAAAATACCTTTCATTTTCCCATTGTATTAGGATTTTGTTAAAATTAATACCTGGAATAATGCTAGGGAGTAAATATTTAGCCTAGAATTCTAAGAGTAATGTAGTGGGATGCAGATTTAAAAAATTTAGGAGGCTGGAAATTCAGAAATGGAGAAGAAAGTCACTCTTTGGGGTTATAAAAAAGTGGATTCCCACTGTATTTATTTGATAATACAAAGATTTTTTTCCAAAAAACTATGCCAGGTTTTAAAAGATTGTTCTTAAAGATAATGGTATGGATAGTTATCTGTTGAAAAATTCTGATTTATCTGATTTTTGTTGTTGAAATAATTTCAAGACACCAGCATACATTGAACTTTAGCTGGAAAGGTGATTATGACATCTACCCATTCATCCATTCTTCCTCTGTCTTGCCCTCTTCTCTTTATAATTTTAGTTAATAGAGCTGGGACAGAAAGGGATTTTTGTTAAGGAACTTGGAAATATAATTGCTTTTTTGATACAGATAACAGTTATGCTTGAAATTATAAACTATCATGGTTTACTCTCCCCAGAAAAATTTCAACTTTGTACACCTGATAGAATAAAAGCTTTGTATTAAAATCCACCTTGCCTTTTTTATTATTATTAAAAAAGTCTTTAAGGATGAAAGAAAAGAGGTCCTTATTTGCCTTAAATTCTGTGTGACTAAGCCCGAGGTTTCAAGAATACTAAACTAGAAGCCTGGTAGGAATTTGAGTCAATACACCACTGGCACAGGACAACACTGATAGACCTGATATTGGTGTTTATTCGGTGGCTTAGGTGGAAAAGAGTCTTTCACCCTTGGAGTTGTAATTAAGAAAGTCAGTTCTCTGCACCTGTTAAGTGATGGGGCTACTCCTTGTTTTCCAAGCTATAATTTTCATCTTCTGAAAGGGATTAAGGATAGCTT